AAAATTGAAACGATCAGATCTGAACTTAGTAAATCTAAGCTAGTTAATGTTAGTGAGGCACTAAAGAGTGATATTCAATATGTGGGTCAGAAACTTGTTGTTTTCACTGAAGCCACAAATAAGGAGATCTATGATATCATCATGGGAGCAGCAACTAAGTCTTGTGAGAATGACCCAATCCCAACATCTTTACTTAAACCATGCATTGAAGAGTTGCTTCCCTTAATAACAGTGATAATAACAAATCATTATCTGGATCTTCAGTACCGACAACCTTCAAAGAGGCTATAATTCGCCCTATTCTGAAGAAACCGGAACTTGACTGTAATGAACTGAAAAATTATAGACCAGTTTCCAACTTACCATTTATTTCAAAAATACTCGAAAAGGTAGTATCAACAAGACTCAAGCATCATCTGGAAGTGAACAATCTACAGGAACCACTGCAGTCAGCATATCGAGCATGCCACTCTACAGAGACGGCACTCCTCCGAGTCCATTATGACATTGTATCAGCGCTTGATAAAAATTCCTGTATGGCCTTAGTGATGCTAGACTTGTCAGCTGCGTTTGATATGATCGACCATACCATCTTACTCAGACGTCTCAGGTTCTCTTTTGGGATTTCTGGGGCAGCTCTGGAATGAATTGAATCCTGCTTGACTCAGCGCACACAAAGGGTAGTCATTGGTGGGAGTGCTTCCGAAGATCTTGTTTTGCGGTTCGGAGTACCACAAGGCTCAGTCTTGTATTGCCTTTTCTCGAAGCCTATCGGTAAAATTTGTCGTGATCATGGCATGCTGTTCCACTGTTATGCAGATGACACACAAATATACTTTGTTATAAAACCGAACGAAACATGGCCAGACTTAAAAAGTCGACTAGAAACTTGTTTAGCTAACGTGAGAAGCTGGATGTGCACAAATCTACTAAAATTGAACCAGGATAAAACTGAGTTTATTGTTTTTACACCAAAGAGTCAGCTTAAAAGATCTTTTACACACCAACTTGATTTTGATGGTTCTGTCATCTGTGAATCAGATTGTGTGAAGAATTTGGGAGTGTTTTTCAACAAATTACTTACCATGGAGAATCAGATTAGCGCAGTGTCCAAATCCTGTATTTACCACCTACGAAATATTAGTCGAATTCGTCCATTCATAACAGAAGATGCTTGTAAGACTCTAGTTGTCGCTCTAGTTACATCAAGACTTGATTATGGAAATGCACTACTCTACTGAATTACAGAGACAAATATATCACGGCTACAGAGAGTACAAAATACGGCAGCAAGGATTGTCACCCGAACTAAGAAGCATGATCATATCTCCGAAGTCCTGATATCTCTTCACTGGCTACCAGTTAAATTTAGAACATATTATAAGATCCTTTTATACACTTTCAAAGTACTTCAGGGGACATCACCATCATACCTAAAGGAACTCATAACAGTCTATAAACCGTCAAGGACTCTACGCTCGTATGACTCCAAACAACTTGTGAAACCCCGTGTTCGCACGGAGACATACGGAACGCGTCGATTTGACCATGCAGCAGCAACTTTGTGGAATGGTTTACCGAAAGCTCTCCGGTTTCAGAGGTCACTTTTAGCTTAATTTTAAACAGGATCTTAAGACTCATCTTTTTAAGATAGCATACGACGTGTAAATTTTTTATTTTTTAACAAGTTATCGAGTTTTATTATCCTCAGACTATTTATTTGGGCACAACCTGTATTGTGTGAAATTTTTAAGTTGATCTCAAGTTGATCTTAGTCCAGCAGCTTATAATTTTAGCTTACTCTTATGTTAGTAATGATCTCGTACAATGATTTTAGGTTTTATGTTTTTATGATTATCATTTTGTATCTGAAACACTGTCTGTTCAGCGCCTTAGAGTAATTTATTTTAAATAGGGCGCTATACAAATGTTATTATTATTATTATAAGGATAATTTTGTTTTCTGATGCAGAACAAGACAAAGCCCCCCCCCCCCCCCAGTCTACAGGGAATACTCACTCCTCCATCATTAAATACGTTTAAGTGAACTTGAATTTAGGGCTGCTTAATGTTTGTTGTCTTCACTTTTCATTGACAATAATAATGCTATATATATTTTAGAGATCCGAAGGCAATTGAATACCGGCTTTAGTGCCAATCGGTAAACCGAAAGTTGTTTCTACCTCTTAATCGGTTAGTTGTTTATAAGATTTTCAGGTATTTTTTTCATTTCAAATCCTATTAATATTCTAATTAAAAACAGCAACAAAGGCGTTGCAAGTAGAAATATTCTGCTTTTGATTAACACCTTTTTTCTATTTTATTTCAATTAACATAGACAAAATAAGAAAAAGAACCCATAAGATAAAAGAAAAAAAAAAAGCACGTGACACATGCAAGTCTCAGATACGTTTTAAAAGAATTCAAAAGACATGTCTTGCAAGCTCAGTTTGCTTTGTCGAGATACTCAAAACTAAGTCTGAATTATCGACAAATTAACAATGCATATGTTTGTTCAATAATTCAATTTAATAGGTAACTGCAAAAGATAGAAGAGGTAATGCACACATAATAATTATAATCAATTAACGTTCTCGACGTCCATTAAATTAAAAACACTACAGATCGAAACACAGATACGGAGAAGCCGTGTGACAATTTAAAACACCTCAAAAAGTTGACCAAATATCCCAAAGATGTCAATGTGATGACATTGTTTTCAGATTTAATCAAATATCTTTTTAAAGTCACCGATAACAGACTCTATAAAGATAACCATCCTCCGGACCGCGGAACAGGTTAACCTATTGGAAATTGCAATCCCTTAGTACATATTTGGTTCTAAGATAAGCAAGCACAGCAAAAAAAGCCTCTTGTTCAACTAAAGAAAAAGTGCTGAATGAAATCTCAATTGTAAAACAATTTTCTTTCATCGTTTTTATTTTAATATTATATAATTTCAGTTCAGTGTCCACAAATCACAACAAAAATAGACAGATTGACGTAAATTAATTATGAAATCTCATTTGCACATTAAAAAGGGCTAGACACATCTTTTTATTTCACATGAAAAAAAAGTGAGCAAGCTCACATACCCGATACCCCACGCTCCCCCAAACCTCAAAGTGCTGAAAATCCCGGAAAAAATAAAGGAATCGGAATTTCCTGGCAATATGCACATCTACATATTGTTTCCTAAATATCTACAAAGTCTGATGAAATTCCGTGCAGTTGTTTATGAAGAGTTGCACTGACAAACTGAACATCGCTATATTCCAGGTATGGCCAAAATCTAAGTTGAAAAGTGCCGAAATTCCCAGAAAAATAAAGGAATAAGAATTTCCTGGTAATATGCACATTTCCACATTCTGTCCTAAATATCTGCAAAGTTTGACGAAATTCTGTGCAGCTGTTTAAAAAGAGTTGTGCTGACAAACTGTTCATCTCTATATTCAAGGTATGGCCAAAAATCTAAGTTTTTAATGCGGAAATTCCCGGGAAAAAAGGAATTAGAATTTCCTGGTAATATGCACATCTCCACAGAGTGTCCTAAATATATACAAAGTTTGACGAAATTCTGTGCAGCGGTTTAAGAGGAGTTGCGCTGACAAACTGTTCATCTCTATATTCAAGATATGGCCAAAAATCTAAGTCAAAAAGCCCGGAAATTCCCGGAAAAAATAAAGGAATTGGAATTTCCTGGTAATATGCACATCTACCACTGTGTCCTAAATATCTGCAAAGTTTGACGAAATTATGTGCAGCGGTTTTTGAGGAGTTACGCTGACAAAAAAACAAGGACTGACGGACTGACTGACTGACTGACTGAGTGACGGACGGGTTAAAAATATTATACCTCACGCAACTTGTTGCGTTTAGTATAAATATTCTCATATACGATGGGTTTCCTTAAATTTTTTTCAAAGCATATGCTTTGAGTATACCTAGAAATATTTTTTTCGGTCAACAAAATACTGAAAATGTTTATCTAAAATTCAACTTTATAGCATAAATACAAATTTATAACATATCTTTAAGAGAAATATTTGAATTTCATTTCGCCAAAAGTTATATCATAAACATGAATTTAATATTTCGGTGATTGTGCAATGGTTTTGGGTAATAATTCTCAATTAAAACAAAATGATAATCAGAATTTTTAAACTTGGAATCGTAGAATGAGCATACCGCCTTAAGATAATACTGTTAAAAAGGTTGGCTCCTGTCATCAATAGTATTGAGAATTTTTTGTCAAGTATATTTTTAGAATTTACACGCATAGCTTAAAAAAATCAAAACAAAAAATAATGTTTGTACGCTTCTTTTAGCATTACAGGCAATAAATATAGCCTTTTTGCACTGTAATTAAGTCTTACACATGATTTTCCCTTTAATATTTTTTATCCAAATGAATTGGTGGAACAAACATGGTCTTTTTTTTCAACATATGGAGATAACGAACAGTATTTATGATCAAAAGTCCATAAAACAATACAAAACAGGATGCAGAGCAAACACGGACGTTCAAAACATCAGAAATAGGATCAGGTGCCGTGGAGGAGTGAGCATCCCTTGCCGATCTTGAATAGTCACATTAAAATTTGTGACAACAAAAATAGTTTCAAATTACTACGCATTGTCAATTATTTGACCTTTCTGCATTCAAAAAATGTGTTATTTTTCTGGAGTTGAAAATTTAAAACAAAAATAAAACCTAAGTAAGTATTGCACCAAAAAAAAAAAAAGCCACGAGAAAACTTATCACGTGTTTATGCACCTCGACCAAGACTAGTTTTTCTCATCCTCTTACGACATGTTGTTCACATATCAATTATCTATTTAAGATTTATATCAATGAAAAGTACAAAAGATTTTAGAATAAGAATGATTTTAACGATATATGAGATTGTAATATATTATCCATGTAGGTAGTTAATACCATGTCATGCTTTGTCAGTGTGGCATATCACACTGCAGCTGGGGCTACGTATATATACAGGTTTCTCGCCCAATGGCGATCGCACCAACAACACGTCTAAGATCCTCCTATTTCACCCCAGGTTTCAGATGTCAGACAAAACCAATCCTGTCACAGAACTGAATATATAAATATACATATAAAGCATGCTTCACGAGTATTGAGATTTGAATTCCATAAGAGAATAATTATAAAACGTGAGGTATGTGTATTTATATTATATTTAATTCATTAATGAGTTTCGTACTATAAAATTAAGATAAGTTTTATATTTAATGACATCGTCTTTATTGACTAGATGTATCTTATGCTTACCCTCTAAATGGTAAGGAAGCAAGCAATCTTCTGTTATTATTCTCTGAAACTTTACATATGCATTGATATACATGCAGTGTCGATATCGAAAAAAGAACATTAAGTTCTAAATGAATTTTGTTGTCGGGATGATCTCATAATTGGTAATGCATGAGCATGCCTTTATGCTTAGAAATGTTTATAAATGAATAAACCTGATCACAAATATGTGCTGCCTTATTATGGAGGCCTGCTGTTTATTGTTATCACTTGAATTTTTGAGTTTATTTCTAGACAACAGCGATATCTGAATTTTCATAAAAATAGATTCCCTTTAAAATATCAGTCTTTTGAAAGGTTATCCGAATGTGACCTCAGAAGTAAAATGAAGTGAAATATATGGAGATAACGAATGGTAATCAGGCTCAAAAGTAAAACAAAATGGGAGCAGAGCAAACACGAACCTCAAAAACCTTCAGAGATGGGATCAGGTGTCATGAAAAGCAATCGAAAATTACAAATAACGTTGAACCCCGTTTCTTGGGAGTCATTTTCAAAATGTCATTACTAGGGCCTATGATTTCCAATATACTTTAATTTTGTTGGCATTTGATCTCAACATATCTTTTCAATTTAAGAAGTTGATTAAAACTTACAAATTATCAAAAAGATCTTCAAAGAATACAAATCTATATACATTAAACAGGGCATAAAACACGTTCCCCTGGAAAATCAAGAAATCGGGTACCTAATATGAAAAAAACATCCCCTGTCGATCGGTGCCACTCATCCTCTATAAGTAACTATCTCTATAAGTATAATTTTTAGGTAGACAGAATATTTCGAGGTACATATGTACATATGGTTCAATTTGCTAAAACAATTATTATAACGACCATGAAATTTAAGAAGTTGCTGACTTTAAACGAGAATTTTTTTTAATTTCTGAAACACTTTATTTCCTTTACATGTACTAGTTACCCAAGGATTGAAAATGACCGTAGGACTCATAACATGCTTTAAATTAGTATCAAATCATCATAATATGCAGGTGATATCAAATGAAAAAGGTAAAAATATCAAAAAGTGATCGATCTGAAAAAAAAAATCTACAAACAAAACTGATATAAGCTGGGCTTAAAACACGGACCTGGAAAATATAAAAGATTACATCATATTTCGAGAAGTTTAAGCATTGTCTGTTGATCGGCCACATAAATGGAGTCTATTTATAACACTTTTTGTGGTACTTTTTGAGGTGATATATGTAGAGTTCATGTGCTTCTAAAAGTTTTTTTTTATGCTTCAGATTAAAGATGATGAAATATTACCTTTTAATCGCTTTGCAAGCTGCTTTTCTCCAACTGTTCGTTTCGGCAAGATTTGACCGATTTGGTGAACGTCAGACATTCCCGTACACTAGTCTACCTGTTCATGTTGATCAGGGTTCTGCTGATTTCATTGATCGACATAATAATGACCTGCTATTTCCCATGGTGCATCATGGTCTACACGACCAGCCTGATCAACACGGCGTGAAGAGGGACATGGGAGCCATGTGGAATAAATCAACAGCGGCTAGCCAGGCTTCCACTCCACATCAACATGACCAATGCAAACACACCAGAGGGACCAGTTACCAGAGATTCATCAAAGACAGATTTTCCGCATTTAGTAGATCCAACATCCGAAGACTGTTATATCGATTTGGAAAATAATTTGATAAAGAGAAAATTTGAAACTTAAGGTCTTTTGTTATTTATATTTAATATTTAAATTTTGATGTTTCATTTATATCACAGTATGATGCGATTAAAAAATGAAAACATCTATCGTTTTCACTTTGGGGGAATGAAGGTACAAACACACACAAGATCCGTGGACATTCCAAAGGCGGGATAAGGTGATCAGGGGGAGTAAGCATCCCCTGTTGACCGGTTACACTTTGTAACAACTGGTAAGGTTGAGAAACTATTCTACAGTCAAATTCTCAAGCTTATAGCGAACACTAGATGGAATGCCAGGAGGACAGGCCCTAGAATGTTATGCATTTAGAGAATTTTTTTGTGTTGAATAATTCTTCATTTATTACATTAATTATAGGTATATTTTTCGAAAAACTTTTAAGTAAATACTAGTATTCTGTAAATACTTAAGGAATCATTGTCTAGTTAGGATAGTATGCCAGAGAAACGTGGGATAATTTGCATAAGGCGCGAAGGCCGTTATGTATAAATTATCCCACTATCGTTGATGTCCCTGGCATACTATACTAACTAGACAGTGATTCCTTATATTTCCATTTCATATCATTGTGAAATAAAATTATAGAACTATATCATCCGAAACATTTGAATGTTGCGTCCTAGAGAATAAAAGTACAAAATATTGCACAACTTTTCTACAATGAAACATATGGAAATAACGAACAGTATTCAAGATCAAAAGTCCTTAAAACAATACAAAATAGATGCAAATCAAAAACGGTCCTCCATCTGGCTCCAAACATCACCGGTGGGATTAGGTACCTGACAATGACCTTGTCAGCAAATACAATTTATCATTGAGTCAAATGCTGACTGACGTTTTTCATACCAATTGTTAGTCCATTATTTATACACTGAATTGACGACGGATATTTCCGTTATTTCTCGATCATGACAAGAAGCACACGGCGGGTGTGACCGGTCGGCAGGGGATGCTCACTGCTCCATGGCACCTGATCCCATCTCGATGTTTTGGAGTGAATGCAGTGAAAATTATATGTTCACAAGGATGTGCATTTTATTTAATTTGAGTTTATCTAATTAATAGTTAGTCTATGTTCCAATGTTTTCTGTGTAGGACCTAGTAGTTGTTGTAAATATATCTGCATATTTATCTTGATGAATTGAATTCAGACGTGTTTTTTTTTTTTTTTTTACGTCATAAGCCTTTTATTCATTGGTAAAACTCCCAGACTTTAACTTTGTGTAAAACATTTCTATCATATTAGATATCATTTGGTTCAATAAATATTGTTTATGTGGACTATCTGAAATCTTAAACACAAGGAAGTTGTCGTTATGGAAATGAGAAACATAATTATATTTATCCTTATAAGGTATATATTCAAATAACGTTTGTATATATTTGGTTAACTTGTTTGGCATTTTAATAAATGCTCAATTACAACAAACATTTTGTTTTTATATTTGTAAAAAAAGAGCAGAGTGAATGATGGATGGAGAAAATGAATTATTTTGAGGAAGTTTGACATCCAACTTGGAGATTTTTTTTAGTTTGAGTATTAAGGATTTTTGTAGTGAAGTTTTGAGTAAGATTGATTAGAAAGTCCTTTAATGTTAAGTTTAGATCTTTATATTGTGCATTGCTATGGAGCCTAAATTTAAGCTAGTTTATCAATTTTCACTGCTTAGTTCATTATATAATAGTTTAGTTTCAGAAAGGATTTGAAGATTATATTGCTATACTGAATACGAAAGATGTTATGTATATGAGTCACTGAGTCAAAATTATTCTTGGTCATGCTAACACATTGACATTAGCATTATTTTAAAAAGGAATTTAAGATCGAATTCTTAGTATCATTTATTGGAAAGTTTGTATTTGTTACTGGGTACGGTATTCATAACGAGGCGGCCCTGTCTCTAAATCTGATTGAAGTTTTTTACAAACATGCTCACGATGTGTCCTTTCAAAATAATTTTATTATTTGGAATTATTTCTTACCATTTTTCCGCCAGAGGTTTGGGAAAATGGGGCATTTTTTTCAATAATTACAACTTTTTACGTAGCGACGTCATCACGACGTTACTATTTTTGCGTT